TCCACTCATGGTTATCAACTCTTGCTACACCAAGCACTGGGAAGGTAGATTTTCTCTTTCACCTCTCCTGTTCGCATGTTCATCCCTCTCTTCCATGTTCCTTTTCTTCATTCTAGTACATATTACAGACAGGAAACCAAGCATGCCACCTCCGCAGATAACCATCCAAGTGTGAGATAGATGCTTCCTTTCTTCACAGAAGAAGCTTTGTAGTTGTGACTCATGGACTGAGGGATGAGCTCACATCCCAGTACTTCCATTCACTGCTCCTGTGCCTCAGGACCCTGCCTAGTTTAAAGCTGTGCAAGTTTTTAAGTTTCTCTGTACCTCATCTATAAAATAAGAATAAAAGAGCTTCTATCATATAGGGTTATTATGAATATCAAATGTTATAAATGCAACAACTCTTAGAATAACAAGGGGGAAAGGTGGGATCAGTATGTGTTGTCTATTGATTCTCCATTGTTTTCAAGTCGTTGTTTCAGATTCTCTTTGGGTATCAGGGGTATGTGACTTCTGCTTGTTCCCCAGTTCTGCCCAGGTGCATGGAAAAGGCTCAGTACTCCTCTCTCAGAAGACCACTCTGACACTCCTGCTTTAGTGCCCTCCTCTCACCTGACTGTGCAAGAATGTCCTAATTAACTCCTCACCACTTTACAATCCATTCTTTATCCAGCAATCCAGATGACTTATTTAAAAGAGAGGCCAGCACTTTCCCCCCCAGTAATATGTGCCACATAGCAAATATTCTAGGTATTTTGGAAGTCTTTTGACATCAAAATCAAAGATGTTATATGGACACTTTAATAACAAAAAATAAAATGATTGTTTCAATAATAGCTAATAGTTCAAAGCATCATTAAAAGGTACAGTTATATCACAAAATAGGTATAATAATGAAAAGCAACAATTATTTTGAAAGGAATAAATGTTTTTGCTTAATTTGGGATTCAAGTTAGTGTTCCTGTCACCAAAATTATAGCAAATGTTAGTTTAATGTTGACCTAAACTGGAGTTTTACATGTTTCATCTTTGAAAATGACTTCTCCCACAAAAATTGATACTGCAATAACTATCTACTGCATTAAACATATTGATGTTTAATGGTTATTTCAAAGACCCATGATGTTTTTCTTCTCAATATTCAATACATATGTTGAACAGGTAGACCAGAGAAACTCCACAGTAAAGACTGTCTCTTCATTTATCAGTGCTGCCAGGTAGATATGTGGTGTACAAATGAGAGTGGGTACTCAGAGAGAGAGGTTGCTGTGGCACCTCTTCACTGAAGATGTAATGCAAAAGAAGGGTTTAGGTGTTTCCAAGAATTCTTACCATACACTTTAAAGTAATTGAGCCATTGTTGACTTGCATAACATGTCAGATACCAGCAAGAATTATAAGGAAAGCAATCATGATGCATATCTGGTATTGTAAACAAAAACTAAAAACCACTCTTTAATGTACTGTCAGCCAAATATTTTAGGTGGATAGTAGACACAAAACAAGTTGTGGAAATTATCCAAACATCAATCCAGAATCAAGTGATTTTTTTAAAATTTTATTTAAAGAGAAAAGAAAAAAACAGAAAAAGAGTACAAGTAATACAGAATTACAAAAAAATAAACAGTAGGAAATCACTACTTAATAGATTACATAGTGTCATCTTAGAAATAGTTGTTCAAGTTACAAAATTAAAGCATGCAAAGTGGAAATTCAAACAGTGAGACTGCAAACAGTTCTGTTCAATCATCCAACAAAAATTCAGTAATATGGTTATCTATCTTCTACGCTTAAACATACATGCAGTTATATCCTTTAGAGCACTTTCTTTTCCTCTCTTTTTTATAATGACAATTACACATTTTGGGTTTTATTACTCCCACATTTATTACTTTTTTGAAGAGAATAAAACCAAATGTGACATAACAAAACAGAATCAGTCAAATCAAAAGGATGGACATAGTACATGAGGTAAAAACAGAATTCAAGGTGATCAACAATGGTTATCATAATGCCTCTTGCTATCTTAAAAAGAATTGCTTGTATCATCAGTTATACAAAAATTGAACGAAACGGTAAAGAACAAAACCAATAAAACCAAAACATTGGAGACATTACAGGACTTCAAGAGAAGATAATAGTCAAACCAGAATGGGCGTCATAGTGAATCTTATTGTTTTCAAAGTAGTTGCCTATATTCTCAAACCTGGTACTATCAAGCAAAACAGAATAGAGTACAATCAGTCAAAACAATATGGTGATAGAAACTACAGTTAATAGGAAATCAAAGTGGGTTACTATAATATATCCTGCTATTTTTTATTTATTTTCCCTTAATTAAAAAGACAAAAATAAAAAATAAATAATTAAAAAGGAGATTGAGATAAAAGAGGATATAACAGCACAACAGCACAGGTCAGAACATAACAATTTAAGCAACATAGTGTTTCACCACAAGATATCCCAACATAACAGTAGTTACCATAGTGTCTCTTTCCTGGAAATATTTGAGTATAACTTCATATACTGTAGCATCAAACATATCAAGACAATATAAAACCATTCAAGAGAATGACAGTATTACAGGGTATTTAGAACCAACTAACAGAAAATGAACAATGTTTAAATATTATCTCCTTGTCTATAAAAGTTTTTGTTTATACTATCACATATAATAAAACCCAATAAGATATAACAAATTAAGACCGATGGAGACAGAAGAGCAAAAGCTTGATGGGACTTCAAAACAAGATGATATTAAATCAGCACTAGCTATTATGATGTCTTGTTTTCTCCAAAATAGCTGTTCATACCACCACAGATAATAAAATGAAACATCCCAGAATAAAACCATTATAATTAATGGGTAAAAACATTGTAAGTATTCAAAGCAATGTAATGGGGAATCATAAGTACCACATACTTTTATGTATTATTATCATTTCTTACACTAGGGAAACTATTCAGTATTTATACATGTGGGTTTGATTTATTTCACTTATGAGTATGGTCTCAAGCTGCGCCCATTTATTTATACATATCTCAATGTGATCATTCTTTATAGCTGAGTAGTACTCCACTGTATAAAAATACCACAACTTTTTTTATCCATTCCTCAGTTGATGGACACTTAGGTTGTTTCCACGATCCGGCTATTACAAATTGTGCTGCTATAAACATGCACATATATCACTGTGGTACAGTGCTTTCAGTTCTTCTGGGAATATGCCTAGAAGTGGAATAGCTGGAACAAATGGGACTTTCAATCCCAGCTTTTTGAATAAATCTCCAGACTGACCTCCACAATGGTTGCACCAATCTACACTCCCACCAACAGTGCAGGAGAGTTTCTTTTTCCCCACAGCCTCTCCAGTATTTGTTGTTGTTGGTTTTCTTGATCCTGGCCATTCTTTCAGGAGTGAGATGGAATCTCAGTGTGCTTTTATTTTGCATTTCTCTAATGAGTAATGATGATGAACATATTTTATGTATTTATTTGCCATTTGTATTTCTTCATCTGAGAATTGTGTATTCATCTCAGATACCTATTTTTGGATTGTATCTTTGAATTTGGGGGTCTGATTTTTTTTAATTCTTTGTATGTTTTAGACAGAAGTCCTTTGTCTAAGGGACAGACAGTTCACTAAGACTTTTTTCCCAGTTTGTGGGCTTTCTTTTCACTATGCTGGAGATTTCTTTTGACATTCAGAAACTTTTTAATAAGATGTTATCCCAGTTATTGATTCTGGGAAGTATTTCCCGTGCAGTTTGAGTCCTGTTCATGAATTCTCTACCTACTCCTATGTCTTCAAGATTTTTATCCAATTTGTCTTCCAATAGATTTAGTGTTTCTGTTTTAATATTCATATCTTTGTTCCATTTAGATTTTAATTTAGTACATGGTGATAGGCATGGGCCTAGTTTTAGTTTTCAGCATATGGAGAGCCAGGTTTTACAACACCATTTATTAAAGAGACTGTCCTTCTTCCAGTGAACATGTTTGGCCTCTTTATCAAAGATAAGGTAATTGAGTGTATTCATAGTTGTGGTTGTATCTTCTAATCTATTCCATTGATCTTCAGCTCTGTTTTGATTCCAGTACCATGTTGATTTTACTACAGTTGCCTTGTAGTATAACTTCCAGTCAGAGATTGATGCCTCCTGCCTTGCCTTTGTTGCTTAGAACTGTCTTTGCTATTCTATGTCTCTTCTCACTCCAGATGAATTTTAGAGTGATTTCTCAAGATCTATGAGGTATGTTGATGGTATTTTTATTGGTATTTCATTGAATCTGTATAACAGTTTTGGGAGAATAGCCATTTTCTCAATATTTATTCTTCCTATCCATGAGCAAGGGATGTCTTTCCACTTTCTGAGATCCTCTTCAGTTTCTTTTTCAGTGTATTATAATTTTCCTTGGATAGGTCTTTCACTTCTTTCGTGAGAGTGATTCCTAAATATTTCATTTTTTTGGTTGCTAGTGTGAAGGGTGTGGCTTCTCTTATTTCTCTCTCTGTGACCTTGTTGTTAGTGTATAGGAATGCTATTGACTTTTGAGTATTCAGAATCAAATGATTTTAAGAGCTTCCTTTTGAAGTTGCAAATCTAGGCCAAAAATAGTAAGAACATTTCTTAATAAAAATATTAAATAAATGTCTTTGTCATGAGTACTATATGTTATCAGTTACTACATTTTATAATCTTGGAGCTTTTATATGTGCTTGGGTGTTTTGCAGAGCAAAGAAAATTAAAAAGCAATGTCCAACTTCATTTATCATAAAGAATCTTGAATTTAATCCTTAATTAAAGAAATTTAATAGCCTGTATAGAAAGAAAACAGAAATGCATACACAAATAGGTACATGCAAAACATAAAATAAAAAAATACTGTACTCCATCTGCCCAAGAAAAGAGGCAATTTCTCACTATCTCCATGTCATACTAGCATATTTAAGGCCATATTCAATAAACAGGCAATAATTAGAAAAACACTGGTAGGCTTCAATAAAATTTTAATGTTATTCATATTAATTTTTTTCAGTTCATAAGTTACCATTTTTTCCAACTTCAAGAAACATTGGAATCAAACCTTGAGAGAGAATTGTGTAACCATGGAAGGGTTTCATGCTTAGGAGTAAAATACAAGACATTGTGTGACAATAATAACAGTGAAATTACTAATGTCAAGGAGAAAGTTGTTAAATACCTGAGAGACTCTCAGGACTTTAGCAATATCAATTCATTTCAGATTATTATTTCACTCATAGAGATAAAGAGTCCTTTGGATGAGGCACTAATAATACCATCATAGTAGATTTATGGCATTTATGATATAAAAGCATCAAAGCAGTACAAAATGTAAAACTTACAGTAGAGTAGTTAAACTTTTTAAGTTTTTGCAGCCTTTTCAATATAATAGATTTTATGTGGGTAAAAGTTATTCTGAAGTGTCATCTCCAGGCTTTATCTCCAGGTACTATATTGGGCTTACAATGGAGGAATAAACTAATGAGAATGGTAAATTCAAAAAGATAATTACTAATGCCTATCATTATAGTTAACAACACCATAAAGTTTTTATGTATCACCTACCTATCAGTATTGGATGGCCAGAGTGGCTCATTTCTTTCCTACAACAGCCCAGTAAATAAGTACTCATATTACCCCTTCCTCCACAATTGAGAAAGGGAAACAGGATGAAGTAACTTGCTAAGAGTTATTTAGCTGGTAAACATCGTTGCCTATATTGACACCAAACCTTCTGCTACCCTGTTTTTCTTTATACAGATAGAAATAAGATATACCAAAATAAAAATTCACTAGGCAATAACACACCTTGACATCTATCATTTTTTACCATGACAGGTTGGAAGCTGAACAGAATTGTACTAATAATAGCCAACCCTTGGATTGTGCACACTGTGTCAGGCGCTATTCCAATCAACATTATAGCATACAGTTACAACTACTTTAGCCATGAGATAAATGTAGTATGGAAAAGTTAAATCATTTGTCAGATACCTTTCAGCAGTAAGTGGCAGAAACATGATTTGAATCCCAAGGTCCAGTAATTGTAGTATAAAAAGGCTTCAGGTAGCTGATTCAATTTCACCCAAATATTTATCTACTGGTTGATTCCTTTCTCTTTCTCGTCTTTGTAAAATCTCAATCTCTTAATACAAACACCTTTTAACCCTGCCAATGAGTTACAATAGTTCATACATGAACACAGTGAAAAGCCAACACTACCACCAAAGTCACTCTCTATTGGGTTTCCTCTATTAGAGCCATAATGGCCTTTCTCAGGTTATTCTACATCATATACTCTTTTCTCCCATGGGCCCATGCTGGTTACTGAGGCGTGCAGACCTCTCATTACTGTTATTATATTTTATTTTTTTATTTTTATTTTAAAGAGAAAAAATACAGAAAACAAAAGCGAAAAGCAAGAGATATACAGACAATTTCAAGAACAACAACAAAAAACCCAAACAATAACAATATTAATCATCTTAGCGATTTTATGCATATATAAACAAATCTATACCTTTTTCCTTTTCCCTTCCTTCTTTTCTCCTTTCCCCTGTCCCAGTTATTTTTCCTCTTTGAGCAGTTTCTTGTCCTTTAATGATATCTATTATAAATTTTGGATCTTATTTATTCTTTCAGTTTCTTATACTAGAGAGGTAACATGATATTTACAAATGTGAGTCTGATTATTTCATGTCTTCGTTACCATCCTTGTCACAATTGAAATTTTACAGGTATAACGCACTTATTTGATTAATATCATCACCAGGAATTTGTGCCTGTACCTGTTACATCATGCTGCTACTTTTTTCCTCGTTCTCTTTGCCTCCCTTTAGCCACTCTTTCCCTCTTTATCTAGAAAAGTTTGTTTCCAATTCTTCTTTCTATTCTTTTATTTTGTGCTCCTCCCCCCTCCATTCCCCTTCCCATTTGAAAATTTTCTTCTTACTTCCCAATATCCGTTATACATTTTGTGAGAACTTCTGGAAGCTCTACGTAACACTGCTCAGAGCTGCCCTCCCAATGAGTGAGTAGCCCAATGATGGTATTTACCCACCAGCTCCGACTCAGAGCTGGCTCTCAGAAACATTGACTACAGCTCATTTTCAGCCAGCTTCACCCAAAAACTAAGCACATTCCTATACCCAGGGAAAGCACTCAAGCAGAGCTGTGTCTACAGTAAGAAGCTACCAATGTGTATAGATAAGAGTTATGCCAGAAAGATATGAATGGTTAACAGACAGATTCTTCTAAAATCCACCCCTTTGATTTAACTCATAATACAGAATAATTTACTCCCTGCTCAATCCTATCATGGATATTTAAAATTAGTAAGTCTTCATGATTTCTTTTAAAAGTAGAAAGCAGCAAGGGGTGTGACACAAACTGTAGTCCAGATCCCAATAGTGGGTCAAGTGTGGTGCCACACACCTGCAATCCCAGCACTTGGGAGACTGAGGCTGGAGGACTTCCGTGAGTTCAAAGCCAGCCTGCACTACAAAATGAATTTAAAGCCAGCCTGAACTGCATAGTGAAACCTTGTCTCAAAAAGACAAAAATAAAATAAAAATCTGAAAATAAATAAATCCTATCCCATTAGTGCAATTTGTTAAAGTTACTACTGGTATCACTTTTATTTCTTTCAATACCTATTTTAAATTCTGGTAAAACTCACCCATCACTTTGGTCAAAAGTACAGACTCCATTAATTCTAATTTCAGTCTTTCAAGAAACATGTTCCACAGCAGGACTAATTTTTTAATATCCACATCTTTGAACACTATTTTAAATGCCACATGTCCAACTAACAAAATCTCTGATTATAATCTAAAACATCTTAGAAAATCCTTGTAGTAACATAAACATTAGAATATTGCTTATATTCAGAAGCCCAATAACTTTCATGATCAGAAAATTTTCTACATGAAAAGATGGAAAATATCATATGATTGTCAACTGCTTCAAAGGCCCACATCCAAAAACTGATAACGCTGTTCTAACTTCCTAGAAATAAATAATATTAGCCTAATCATTTTGATTCTCAGAATCTTTAACACACTGGAAAACAAAATCATTAAGATCTAGTCTATTTTTCTTTACTGTAATGAAAGCTTACTTTGAATTCTGGAAATCATTTTCTTTGATATGTATGGAATTTGAACTTGAAGAAAAGACCTTGTGTTCATTTCTTTTAATCCAATTACATGATCTAGTCTGATCTTGAAGTGTCCTTTTGAAATTTTATACTCGTCCAGGACAATCCAGTATTCACTTTCTGTTTGGGTTAAAAGAGAAAGTTTTGTTAGCCAAACTTGGGGATGCATGCCTGTAATTCCAGACTTGGGAGGCTGAGGCAGGGGAACCGCTGTGAGTTTGAGGCCAGTCTGGCACTCAAAATGAGTAAAAAGCCAGCCTGAACTGCACAGTGAAACCCTGTCTTTAAAAACAAAGAATAAATTTTGTTGCCATATTTTTATCTGTGCTTTACTTTCTGTTCAAATGCACATAAGTTAAGATTTAATATACCCCTCACTAAATTTAATCAACTATTTTCTGTACTGTTTTGCTTGCCTCTATCCCTTTCTCAACTGCAATCACATAGTTTTTTGGTCTTATCTTGAACTCATAATGATACCTTTCAGGTTTGGCCTGGGTTCTGGGACCAGTCCTTTAGCAAGTCCTGATATTTTATTATTTCTGTATTCAATTTTCAGCAAGATGCTACTTTCTCCTTTCAGTAACTCACTGTACACATCATTTTTCCTGCTGGATTGAATATGAATCTCTTTAAGCAAATAATGCTGGATTTTAAACGACCTAACGTTCTCTAAATCAATTCCTAACTGGCACGAGCAGCCATCCATCCACATGCACCCGACATGGGAATGTGCCATCCTTTCCTATGAGTCAAGAACGGTGAAATGCATCGAGACAAAGGAAGCCTTTTAAATACCATTAGGGTGATGTCAAGTGCAGAAAGATTTAAATTGGCATCATCAACAAAATATCCAAGACTATTAATGAAAGCCAGTGCTGTGACCACACAGAGCACTGTCCTGGATTCCAGTCTTTTCTAAACCAAGCCTGGCGTAGTTACCCAGGGGCCTCCTGGCATCAGGTAGAGCCCAAAATAGAAGGGTTCTAAATATAGATCTTACATTTTCTGCTTTCTTTTGTAACTGAATTTCTTCAGGGTTCTAAACCTGAAGCCATAAAATCTTGGCTCCCATTGTTTCATAATGAAAAGTGTTTTTCTCTTAAGCATTGATGTACCTCATGATCTTAAATTAGATTTAGTGCAAAGGCAGCAGCTTTCTATTATTTTTTCCCATTTATTTGAACAAGGTCACAGGAAAATGTTGAGAGTGATTGGTATCGGTGTTGTTACCAATTTAGTTTGCCTTAAGTTACATATAAAAGGTGACTTTCAGACACATAAATTCTTTTCTCTAAATCTCTTCCATTTTTTAGTAATTTTGAGATTTACAAACAAGCACACACTGCAGTCTTGCCAAAAGGTTAGTCAGGCCAAAAGCCACTTATTCTTTCTGGGCTTCATAATTTTTTCTAACTTTAAACAGTTTTCCCAGGGTAAAATGCAGCATGACAGTGTTTTTCCCCAGAGAGTTCGCATTTAACTAGATTAGGATTCCAAGGCAAATTAAATGCTTCATGGCTTGAGAGCTTAATTCAGTTCTTGTTAATTAACTAGTCGGTGGATTGATTACACTATATTCAGTTTTAAAGACAGAAAAAATACTTTCTTCATATATTGTCATATGTGTACTTTGGAAAAATGTACAATGACTGAACCCCACCTGAATGCTAACTTCCTAAATGTCTACATTTCTGAATAATGAACATCTTGGTTATGACTGGTATTACGCATTGGTGGGTTGCATATGTGGTATGATTTGAGACATGGCACAAGCTCTCCTCACAACTCTCTAAAATTGTACTACTAACTCTGTCTGACCATATCTCCCCGTTATATGAATGCTATAATTTCTACACATCTGACACTTCAAGTTACAAAATGTGCTGCTTTCTACAAAGCTGAAGCATGATGAGTGTAAGCCTCTTAATTAATGTGTCATTTCATGCCAATGAGTTCTGTTTGGGTAGTAGACACCACGCAAAGGACATTAACATGCAAGGTCAATTGTGGCAGAAGCTGACATGTTTACTCTCAATATCACATTTGGGGTCACTAAGCTGTTAATTAGTTAAGGAAGAGCAATAGAGGAGTCATGATTTCCTAAAAACTCAGATAGCCATTTTATGAGTGATAATAACACTGGGCTCCTAATGAAATTAACACATGTATATACTACTGAAATTCAAAAATTTTGAAACTAGGACTGAGATTAAGTTTAACTGCTTTTCCTGAAAAAGATTTCTGTTTAATTCATTCAACAAGTTCTTAATGAATGTTAACTATATTCCAGAAAGAATTCTAGGTACTGAAAATTCAGCCATGACATCATGTAATTTACATTTTAGAGGTTTCACTATCACATAATAAAAAGATGAGAATAAGTTGGAAACTTAATCCAATATCCCAGAAAAGAAATGATAACAGCCTGAAGAAGGATAATAATCTAGGACATGGTGGACTTGATATAGTTTTAATGCAGAGCAAACAGGACTTGCTGGTAGATTACAAGAGATGTAAGAGAGACCTCAGCAAGTAGAGGAAGAGAAATGATATTGCGGAGATGGAGACACTAAGAAAGTATCATAGTGGTCAATTTTATTTTGAGCTGTTAAGTGAGTACCAGGAAATCATCAGTCAATATGGAAATCAGGAGTTCAGAGGAAAATGAAAGGCAGGAAAAGTTGACAGGTAGGTGGTATTGGAAGATGGATGTCTCTATGTGTTCAACTAGAAATGAATACAGAAAGAGAAAACCACAGACACTGCAAAACAGTATTCAGGAAGAAAACAAGGAATAGAAAAGAAAATTGAAAAAAACTATTCAGTGAGAATGAATGAGAACCAGGAGAGTATGCTGTCTTGTACACTAAATGAGCAGGTCTCAAGGAGATAATGAATATCTGTTGGATTCAGAAAAAAAAAAGTGAGCACAAAAAGAGTTTAGAAATGCTTACCAATTTGTCTACATACTTTCATCAAGGACATTGATTTTTACAAAACCAGCTTAGTGACATACTGGCGATGAAAGCTGATTGTCCTGGGGTTGCAGCACAAGAATTGAGGTAGTAGATGCAAGCCTGCAAACAAAAATTTCCAAGAGATTTTTCAATAAAAGGAACAGGTATGTGATCATATGTAACAGTACATATTTGACTAAGGAAAGTTTTGTTGTCTGATGGTGTATATTTAAATTGAGATTCTCTAGGTGGAGAGAAGATGCAACAGCTTAGAAGTTGTAATGAGAAACACAAAAGCTACCCCACCTTTTCTTAGGTCCTGTGTGAGAGAAATCAGCTCTCAGTTATGTTGTAATGATATAAAACTTCATAGATTTTTGTTGCCTCAACATCTCCACAAATAGGTTGTGAACACTCAGTCTAGTGTACCAGTGTGGCAGAGTGACTCATGCCACAGTTCCTTTCAGACCCTCCTCTGACTGACCCAGTAACATTCAAACACACCAGTGAAACCCCTTCTGCCTTCTTTACAGTGTTCCATCTTGGCCCCATTAAAGGCATTGTGCAGCGGCACTCAGCTGTTGACTGTGCCCAGTCTTCAGTTCTCCTTTGATTTCGCTTCCCCTTGGAATGGTGACTCTGCCTCACTATGACCTGAGAGTAAATAAAATGTTTTTTCTGAGCCTCTCCTCTGCACCCTCTTCTATCTGCGGTTGAATGCCTATCACCTAAAAGAACACAGAACGCCAAGTAGTACGGTTGAGAGGCAAACAGTGGTCGCAGGAAACAGCAAGTTCTTTTATACTATGCAGTTGAAGTCCTGAGAGAAGAGGCAAAGAGTAGAACTGATTTCTGACAAATCATGCATTCCAAAGAGCTCAGGGCAAGGATTTGGCAGGTTAGATTTAGGAAGAGTAGATCTGAAGTATAGAATGATAAAGATTGTGACATTAAACATGCTCTCTGAAAAAAGATAGCCTCTTTAATAAATGGTGCTGGAAAAACTGGCTCTCTAAATGCTGAAGGCTAAAACTAGACACATTGTAACCATGCACTAAAGTCAAAATAAATCAAAGATATAAGTATTAAAAGATGAGATCCCAGTTGTTGATTCTTCAAAGTACTTCCTGTACACTTTTGGGTTTGCTCATGAACTTTCTGCCTACACATATGTCTTCAAGATTTCTGCTGACTTTAAGAAAAGCTAATGGCAATGTGTCTTTTACAAAGTTAAATTTTTTAATGTAAGCACTCACTCTATTTTATGATGACCCATCACTGATCAAACATTTACAGTAGTTTCTATATATTCTATAAAAATAAAAATTTCTATAAAATTAAAATTTTTAATTTTCTGTAAAATTAATTTTTTAATATTTCTATAAAAATTCTTGAATGTGGGGAAAAATAGGGATTGTGACATTAAGATTCTAGAAACCAGAGCGTCTGTTGAGTGTGGTCCACAGGAGTGCAAGCATGTTTATGACATCATGCTCTTTATTTTGTCACCTGCAGGCTGTCCTTTGTGTTCACTGTATTATGTCCTGTAGTTAAAATTCACTTGGATAATGATGGAAGAAATAGAAATATGACGTACATTGTGATGTGGCCAGATTCCAGATGGCATTGAGAATTTAAATCATGTTTATTTCTGATTAGAAGGAAATAGTCTGAAAGGGGACTGAGTTCCTCATGGAGCATTTGTGAGATCTTTAGAGACAGAGGATGGAAGACATGGGAGTTTGTTTCACTAAATTTTCACTAAAAAGAAAGGAAATTCACATCTCTCTCTCTCTCTCTCTCTCTCTCTCTCTCTCTCTCTCTCTGTGTGTGTGTGTCTGTCTGTCTGTCTCTGTCTCTCTCATCTCTGTCTGTCTCTCTGTCTCTCTCTCTCTGTCTCTCTCTCTCTCTCTGTCTCTCTCTCTCTCTCTCTCTCTCTCTCTCTCTCTCTCTCTCTCTCTCTCTCTCTCTCTCTCCCTCTCCCTCTCCCTTGTCTAAAAACAGGGAGAATTTGGCAGGAAAGGTTAGGCTAATAGACATGAGAAAAAAACAACAGAAAGAAACATAAGAAACAAACCTGATCTTCAAAATTTCAAAGTATTGTAATGTATTTTCCTTTACTGAAAATATTACCCATTTAAATAGTTCCATGTTTATTTCTAAGATTTTAAATTTAGAACAGTATGAATAAATAATTGCACTTAAACCTGAGACTTTAATGAATTTTTTATGTTTATTTACCTGATACTTCTTTCGCCATTGGGTTACTTTTTTGCTTTTTTAGATTTCACTCTTCAAATGAAAAAAATGAAATCTTACAAAACTCACTGATTTGGATAAGAGAAGCGCAGTCCATTCATGGACAAGGAAAAGAAATAGATAACTCCCAAGAAAAAAACATAATTTATGGATGATGAATCAAGTACTCAGGCAAAAAAAATGAGCTCCTGCTTTTCTAGTCTTGTATGCTTCATTTCTTTGTGTTTTATTGTATGTAATTTGAGGAAAATTTTACCTCCCCTGGGGTGCTTGAGTGTCTCTTCTGTCACACTTGTTAACTATTGCTGAAAGTCTTGATTACAATTTTCCTGTTTCAGTATAATATAAGGTAATTTTTTTTCTCTCAGCTACCCATGCTTGTTAAAATGACATGGATAAATCATGCATATGTCTTTTAAAGCAAAAGTTAACGTTGAATGTTAATAAATCACTTTTTTACTCAGATGTGCAATCAGTTCCCGATAACATCCTAGTGCCACTGGGAAACACAGTCATAGAAGATGATTACTTCAACCTCCTCACCTTGTCTGTATACCAAATGGAAACATAACTTGCACACTTTAGATAAATGATCATCTGCCATTGTGGCAAATGATTGTTGATAATTTTAATTTTAATAAATATTTAAAATATCCCATATTTTTAAATCATTAATATATCAGATTAATATATCAGATTAAGATTAAGAAGGAAAATAACCTGGATATCAATTTTTCCATGTTTCCCCAATTTTAGGGAGCTGATTGCAACAAAAAACTCTCCAAAGAGGAAACAGACCTGTCAGTTCCAACAGTTTAAACAAGTACACTAGCTACAGATTACAGGGATAAAGATCAGTGCAACTCCACAGTTTCTCACCTTCCTCTCCCTCAGAGAAAAAAATGATAAAGACATAAGGAAGGTAAAGAGTAGACTTTCCAAAAAAGTATTTAAATCATACCTCCAACGTATGCTTCTTTTTCTCAACAATATCAGCATATAATTTTAAGTATTCTCCTAGTAAGGCATAAAAATGTACCAAAATCTCTGTCTTTTATTAAGTGGACAAAAGCAATTGACAAAGAAAAAGTTTGCAAAATCCTATCAGAAGTTAAGTCCTGGCGGGAGACAGGAGGATTTTGAGGAATGGGATCCTGGTCACAGAGAGCTCCAAGCAAGACGTCCTCTGCTGATTCTTCTTTCAGGAATTCCTTGAAAGTGGTAAGTGAAAGTCACTTTTGTTAGTGATTTCCTTCTTTGATCTACAGAGGAATAAAATCATTTCTGAGGAGAAATGAAGTAAAATATGTAGAGATAGATTGATAGATAGACAGACAGATGCTAGATAGATACGGGCTGTACTCTGTAAAAACTAAAGTATGGGAAATTCAAGTTTCTGCCAGAGAAATTGGCTATGAACCCTAAATAGACACAGACAATTGTAGGACAAATATGCACTTTTTATCAAAGCTAAAAGAAACTCTTTGCAAGTCATTTGTGACATAAATATGAGAAAATAAAAGAAATAGTAAAACCACAATTGCAGTGCTTTAGAACACACAAAAAAGAAAAAAAAAACCATAAATAAACACTGAAAAAAGGAGGTAAAGCCTTGTATAGAAACAATCATAACCAAACAAATAGGAGAACTTTTCCTATGAATGTCTTATACAATGGAAGAATATTTTTAAAACATGAATTCAGTGAGAGAAGTCTTAAAACTGAGTTGAAGAAACAAAAATGTAAGCCAGCTCATAGAACTGTGAAGTCATTTTAAAGACCAAACTAATGACCACAGAGAAAGAAATACTTTACAAATAGTAGTAAGCATATTAAAGTGGACCTGAGTAGTTCATAGTTCAAAATAAAAATATTTTGCAGGACCCAGAAAGAAAATAAAACCACCCTGATAGTGGTGACAGGATAAATATGTTGAGTCCCACTTCAGCTACCAGGGAGGGACCAACTATCAGAGAGAAGCATTCTGCAACCACAAGCATTTGGAAAGGACATTGGGAGAGCAAGGCATCAAAAAACACACTGAGATAAATGCATAATGATGAAAGCGTAAATTCATTAAGAAGATAATTAAAATATTTAAATTAATAAAATTAAATGTTCAAAGAAAATTTCAAATATGTAAAACAAAATTTGGGGAAACTACAGAGGAACTTAACAAATTTGTGATCATAATAAAATTTTCAACATGCTTCTCTTGATTATGATCCTTAAAGAATATTTCAATCCCACAATCAATGTGATCTAGGAAATTTGTATAGGCTCAACCCAAACAAATAATTCATAGTCTTAAAGAAAATAGTGCTAGAAAAATAATACAATTTTATTGCAACATTTTTTTTCAAAATAACAAGTGTAGTAAAGTGAACAACACACTTAGATTCTTACTCCAATTTTGTAAATATATACATTTGAGAAACCCGCAATTTTACAGCATTAAAAAACATACCACGGAATTTGAAGTTGAAAAGCAGGCCATTGTTCAAGGTTATAAAATTAAGATAACACACCAAAAGATGGGAGAATGGGTAGTCAACTTGGCCTTCAAAGACACAGTTGGAAGGTGCCAAACATTCACTGGAAGAAAAACAGCCTTTTTAATAAACGATGCGGGGAAAACTGGCTCTGTACATGCAGAAGATTAAAGTTGGACTCATGTCATTCACCATGCACTAAACTAAATTCAGAATGGATCAAAGATCTAAATATCAAGGCAGAAACACTAAATCTGCTGGAAGATGAAATAGGCAAAAGTCTTGGAAGACACTGATGTAGGTAAAGACTTTATGGATAAAACCCTAATTGCACAGGAACTGTCACAAAGAATCAACAACTAGGATCTT